TAGAAGTCTTGAAGGTAATAAAATCTTTGAACAACTCTAAGTCATGTGGATCTGATGGTATTTCGAATCAAGTTCTGAAATATGTTTCTTTAAATTTAGTTGACATTCTAACTCATCTGTTCAATAGAAGTATTTTGTCAGGATCTTTTCCCGCTGACTTAAAATGTGCTATTGTCATACCATTGTTTAAAAAGGGTGACAAAAAAGATATTAATAATTACAGGCCAATTTCCTTGCTTTCTTCTATTTCTAAAGTTTTTGAGAAACTTGTTAAAAGTAGAATCTTATCTTTTCTTGAAACCAAGAAATTTTTCAGTTCAATGCAATTCGGTTTTAGATGTGGGCGGTCAACAGAAGATGCTCTACTGGAATTTTGTTCATTTATATACAGCGAACTAGACAATAAAAATAACTGTGCTGGTCTGTTTGTTGACATCACAAAAGCATTTGATATGGTTGATCACCAAATCTTATTAGACAAGTTATATTGCGCGGGCTTTCGTGGGTTTATGTATAATTGGTTCAAATGTTACTTGTCAGGTAGGGTGCAAAAAGTAAAGGTTGGGAGTAGTTTGAGTAATCCTGTTACTATTAGCTTAGGAGTGCCTCAAGGATCTGTTTTAGGTCCGATACTATTTCTGGTTTATTTGAATTCCATATTCTCGCTCCCTTTCTATGGAAAAGTTACAGCCTTCGCGGACGACCTTGCTATTGCCTATGGTTCCTCGAACTATTTGGATCTTATAGCAGGAGTCAATAAGGACGTACATTTGCTCCGGGGGTGGTTTTCTGCTCATAAGCTTATTGTCAGTAAAAAAAACCAAGATCATGTATTTCAGTCTAATTCCAAAAATCTCACCCGATATTGACATTGTATTTCATGCCTCTAACTGCAAGCGCTTTGAACTGAATAGTTTCTTGTGCTCCACTAAATCTTTTAATTCTGAAACAGACTGTTGTCCTGAGTGCTTTTTAATTGAAAAAGTAAGCGACTTTCAATACCTTGGTGTTTCTGTCGACCAAACCTTAAGTTGGTTACGCACATTCCTCGTTTGAAATCCTACTTGCGGTCTACTGTTCGATATTTTTATGGTCTACGAAAGATTTGTTCTAACTCTACGCTTAAGACTCTCTACTACACCTTGGTTCACTCTAAGCTTCAATATGGCATAACCTGCTGGGGCGGTGCATCTTTCAATAAAATCCAGCAACTTTTAACAATACAGAAATGCATCATAAGAAAAATATGTAATGTAAATCGTTTGCACCACACCATGGAGCTATTTAGTGTTCTGGGAATTCTGCCTATAAAACATCTGTACTTCTACAAATGTTTAAAGATATTTTTCATTCGCTGTGGCTATTTACACAGCCAAGTCTCTGACACTTATAACTTGAGGAAAAACTTGCACGGCTTTGTGGCTGTTCAAATTTCTCGTACTACACACTTCAAAAACTTCTACACTATGGTTTCTTGTAAAGCTTTCAATGCGTTACCTGCGTATATTCGTGCTATTAGAAATTTGCCTAAATTTTTATCAAAAGTAAAATTGTTTCTTTTAGAGCTTTCACACGACGATATCAAAAGTTTCCTGAGTTCTGCGACTTAAAAACTTTAAAATTTAAATATATGCAATTGTTGTTAAATATTATTAATATTATTTTTTCTATAAAATTATCTTAACGTTATCACTGTTGGTTATATATCTTCACCCCATACACACTCTCTTCATTTCCATAATTTTTATCTTTTGAGATGGCATCCAATACAAAAACTTAATGTTTTTAAGGAATGCCTTACTTTTTCTTACATTAGTTTAGCGATACTAAGTATTTTAAGTTACTAATGTACTTATATGTTGATTTTGTAAGAAGAAAGAATAAATATATTATATATATTATATTATATTATATTATATATGCAAATTTGAATGTAGATCTAAGCATCAATGCTATTTCAAATATTCAAATTCGCTAAATGTTTTCAGTAATCAAAAACAGCCTACTGAGCTTTGAAAATATTAACGTAACGTTATTAATCTACTATATATTTGTGGAAGTATGTATGTATGTATGAAGGTATGTATGCATGTATGTGCCAGGTTGTAGCCTAAACGGACCGAGAGAATCGAACAAAGTATTGCCATGACACCTGGGCCTATAATAGGGTGAAAAAAGTTGCGATCCGACAAGCGGGCGTGGCACCTCCCATAGGCGTGAAATTTGTAATCAACCCTAACTTCGGAACCATAAGTCACATGAAGTTGAAATTTGATATGCAATCATATAGGTATATGTTAGGTGCTTATAGAAGGGTATATATACATAAGTTTTTAAAGGGGGCGTAGCACATCCCTTAGGCGTGGAATATTTTGTCAGCTATAACTCCGGAACTATAAGTCATATCAACTTCAGATTTGGTAGGCAGCCACTTCAATGTAGGTGCTTATAATAAGGTATATATAAATGAGTGCCGAAAAGAGGGCGTGGCACATCCAGTAGGTGTGGAATTTTGTATCAGCTATAACTTCGGAACCATAAGTCCCACGAACTTGAAATTTGGAATGTAGACATATCTATGGTAGGTGCTTATAACAGGGTATATATAAATCCCATAGGCTTGGCAATTTTTATCAGCTATAACTTCAAAACCATGTCACATGAAGCTGAAATTTCGAAGGTGTCTATAGAAGTCTATATATACATGAGTTTATATAAAAGGGAGTGGCTCATTCCATAGGCGTGGACTCTTTTATCAGCTATAACTTCGGAGCCATAGTCCCACGAACTTGAAATTTCGTATGCAGACATATCTATGGTAGGTGCTTATAACAGGGTATATATAAATGAGTTTGAAAAAGGGGGGCGGGGCACATCCCATAGGCGTGGACTTTTTTATCAGCTACAACTTCGGAACCATAATCCCAAGAACTTGAAATATGGAATGCAGGCATATCTACGGTAGGCGCTTATAGAAAGGTATAAATAAATGAGTTTGTAAAAGCGCGCGGGGCACATCCCATAGGCGTGGACCCTTTTATCAGCTATAGCTTCGGAGTCACATGTCACATGAAATCGAAATTTGGTATGCAGACATATCTATGGTAGTCGCTTATAGGAGAGTATATATGAATGAGTTTGAAAAATGGGGGGCGGGGCACATCCCATAGGCGTGGACTTTGTTATCAGCTACAACTTCGGAACCATATGTCACATGAGATTGAAATTTGGTATGCAGGCATGCCTATGGTAGCTGCTTATAGTAAGGTATATATTAATAGGTTTGTAAAAGGAGGCGTTGCAAATCCCATACGCGTGGAAAATTTATCAGCTATAACTTCGGAACCATAGGTCACATGAACTTGAAATTTGGTATGCAGACATATCTATGGTAGGTGGTTATAGTAAGGTATAAATAAGTGGGTTTGTTAAAAGGGGCATCGCACATCCCATATTCGGGGAAATTTTTATCAGCTATAACTTCAAAATCATAAGTCCCGTGAACTTGAAATTACGTATGCAGGCATATTTATGGTAGGCGCTTATAGTAAGGTATATATCAATTAGTTTTAAAAGGGGGTGTGGCCCATCCCATAGGTGTGGAATATTTTATCAGCTATAACTTCGCAGCCATTTGTCACATGAATTTGAAATTTGGTATGCAGTCATATCTATAGTAGGTGCTTATAGCAAGGTATATATAAATGAGTTTCTAAAAGGGGGAGTGGGACATCCCATAGGGGTGGAAATTTTTATCAGCTATAACTTCGGAACCATAAGTCGCATGAGATTGAATTTGACATGCAGATATATCTATGGAGGGTGCTTATAGTAGGGTATATATAAATGAGTTTGTACAAGAAGGCGTGGCTCATCCATGGTCGTGAAGTTTTTAAACTGATATAACTTCGGAACCACAGGTCACATGAATTTTAAATTTGGTACGAAGATCTATGATAAATGCTTAAGGCATATATAAAATAGTTTTTTTTAAAGGGGACGTGGCACACTCCACAGGCGTGAAATTTTGTATCAGCTACAACTTCGGAATCATAATTCAGAAGAATATGAAATTTGGAATGAATACATATCCATAGTAAGGTTTGTATATATGAGTTTGTAAAAGGGAACGTAGAGCATAGGCGAGGATTATTTAAACAGCCATAAAATGGGAACCATAAGTCAAACGGAGTGTACCGTAGTAGTAATTTAAAAATTCTATCGTTACCTTAATCCACCTAATATTAATAATGGAACAAGATTTGTAGTACAGAAAATGATGATCAGTAAATATTTGTAATGAATAAAACTCTTCCGAAATAAGCAATATATATTTGTATTACTGTTTTATATTTTGATTTGTTTACCCCGAACGACGTCGGGTGTTCTGCTAGTACATCATATAAATAAAAACAAAAAGTTTGCAGCTTTTAGGTGTAATTCACAGTAGAATACCGATGCGACTTATAATTGTGTCCGATTTCATCCATAAATTTCCAAATAACTCTTAAACTGATAATTTGATTGTAATTCACAGCAGAATACCGATTTCACCCATAAATTTGCAAATAACTCTTAAACTGATAAATTGATTGCATAACATTTTATAGCAAGTTCATAGGGAATTCGAAGACCTTAAATCCGGTGGAGAGCTTTTGCGGTGCGATAATCAGAACCCGATATTTTTGGTAAAAATTTAAAATGCTGTTTTCTCAATTTGAAAAAAATGATAATTTCGCAAATTCTTAAAACCTATTCTACTATTTCATTTTTGACCTCATATTCAGATTCTGTGAGTTATTTTACATAGCAAATGACTATAAAATTCACGATCTTCAACTATTTTGTTAAAAACTTGTTTCCCTGACTGCATATGGTTTTCTGAATTTTCAAATGCAACGTTAAGTACTTAGAGTTATCATAATCGAATAAAATTTTGCACAGCTTATTTTTAGACCAGAAGACATCTTATTTCGCCCGGCAAACTGTATATTAAAAAAAAAAAGCTGAAATAACGAACGGTCTAGTTAGCATTCCACACAGGTTTATTAATATTTCGAATTCTGTAAGTCCAAACCAATGAACAATTTCTTACAATTTAAACATGGTCAAGAAGTCTAAACCTCATTGAGCCATATGCTTTGAAAGTTTAATATGCACTGCGGAATTGCTCCGTTGTTTTAATGCCATGTCTCCGTCTTCGGGAAATGGGTGTGATTCATCTAGGAAAAATAAGAATAAGTAAAAAATATTTATCGCATATAAAAAATAATTTCACTTACCAATAAAATGAATAGTTGAAGTATGGATTGAGTATGATAATCCCTGGCCTGATTTCTTTATTATATGTAATGCTAAGTTTAAGCAACGGTTAACTGAGTTCCCCAAGCAATGGAGATATATTTCCTTGCCTCCTATGCTGAAAATATCCATACAATGCTTAGCTTGAGCCTGAAATTAAAATGTTAATTCGAACATATGTTACGAACTATCGATTGTGTGTATTTCTTTATCAAGCAAGAAGTTCTGCGCAATAATACTTCCGCCCTTCCGGCAACACTGAAAGGAATATTCTACTTAGTAAGGGTTATAATCCCTAAGCGCGGCCGAAGGCCGCCTACGAAGAAAGAAGGACTGAAAGGAGAATTCTACTTAGTAAAGCTGATGCCAGATAAAACGCTTGCTTCACTTTGAATTGTATGAAAATGCACAAAGCATGCCACATAAATCGTTGCATATTTTTGCGCGCGCTAACAATCAGCTGTTTTAATATTTGTTTTGTTTCCTCCAAATTCGAGTTTTCATGCAGAAACATAAATTTAATTACACTGCTGATATTTTTAAACCAAAAAATATAAAATCCACAGGAATTTTGACGAGTAAAAGGACAGTGCAAAATGGTTTTATTAGCCTTCATTGTGGCATATCGTTTGCGTCTCGTACTAACCCAATGTAAAATAGAGTTATACGCCTAGATTCCGCCTAGGGACATTGAAATGTAGTCGTTCCAAGAGGTTAGGATAATCAACAGATCCATTTACGATATTGGACACAAAAGAGGATGCGAGGAAGGAGAATCTACTACTCAAGGGTTTAATATCCAAAAGCAGACAGCGCGATTCAAGGAGTCGGTTCCGTAAAATTTAAAGAGCTTAAGGCAAATTTTATGAATATTTTCTGGACTCGCTCTATGCGGCTTATATATGAAGAATGGTACGGTCTCCAGATGAAAGATGAATAGTCGAGCCTTGATCTTACTAGAGAAACGTAAAAAATCTTCAATGTGTAAGGTTGATAAGAAGAAGTACTGTTACGACGAATAAAGGCTAACATTGCATAAGATTTAGAAACAATATAGTTAATGTGAGTTGAGAAACTCAATTTCGTATCAAAATAGACACCTAAATCCTTAAAATCAGAAACCGAATTGAGAAGCAACCCTGAGTTGTAATAGCGCGTAGGAAACGGATTAAATTTTCGGGTGTATGTGGAGTGAGAACACTTTTTAACATTCAGAAATAGGTGATTTTGGATGCACCAAGAATGTAGCTTGTCAAGGTCCACTTGAAGCGCAGTGGAATCATTAGAATTTTTATTTGCAGAGTATATCTTAAGGTCATCAGCATATAGAAGAAACTTAGATGTTTTGAAGCAGGAACTGATATCGTTGATGAATAAAATAAACAGCAAAGGGCCAAGAATGGTGTCTTGAGAAACGCCTGTTGTCGCTATAAAAGGTCGGGATTAGACGTTATCAATAGCGACCGCACAAAGTCTATTAGATAGGTATGATGTTATCTACTGAAGGAAGGTGGAGTGAAAACCAAAGCTAGATAATTTTGAAAGTAAGACCTTGTGAGACACTCTGTCGAAATCTTAAGAAAAGTATGTATAAATTGCATCGACTTAATACCCATCTTGGAATGTAGTAAAACAATCTCCGGTAAAAACCTAGATATTTGATGCTGTCGACCGCCCTTTGACAAAGCCATGCTGATTTTGAAATTGGTCTGTAATTCGTAACATCATTCTTATTGCCGTTTTTGAAAACTGGGGTTACAGAGCCTCTGTTCCAAACGTCAATTAACATGCCAGAAGATAAGGACATATTAAAAATTAGAGTCAGTGATTCAACCAGAGACGAACATTTCTTGAAGATAATTACTGCAAGCCCATCCGTGTCCGTTTGTTTAGAGGACTTTAAACCTTCAATGCCTCTCAAAACATCATCCTCAGTTAAAACGAGCGAACCAAACGCAAGAGAGGATTCGGGGATAGAACTACAGTCATGCATAACATCTGAGTCTAAAACGATGTGTGAACAAAACAAACTCAGGGAAATATATGAAATTATGAGCCCGTCTAGGGAAGGTTGGAATAAGATCTATACACAAATTATAAGTACGCATCTTGAAAACATTGAAAGCATTTGCAGTGTCCAAATTAGTCCAATTTTCACTTTCTAGCTGAGTTTAAATGGTCGAAATTGCATAAACTGTAATTGAAAACTTGACGCCCAATTTCTGGTGGAGCAGTAAAAAATTCATATTACGCTAAAGTTAATACTAATGGAATATGATGAGCATTAGCCTTCGAGATCGCAGAGTTGCATTCAGGCAAATGATAGTTCACTTCATTACTTAGGAATATAAGATTTAGAATCCGATTCAGACTATTGACAAATCGTCGCCTGGGTAAAAAATTGTCGTAAGCGCAATTTTAACGATTTTTAGTTCTAGATGCAGTTATATATTTTGAAATAAGGTCTTTCGATTGGTGTTATCAGTTTTCAGATATCTCCTTTAGTTTTCGAGATATTGACTACAATTTTTTCTATAACTAAGTAAAAATTTAGTTAGAGATGCAGCCATATTAAACTAATCAATATCTTAAAAATGACATTCTCCATTTTTGGATATCTCTTTTAGTTTCCGAGATATTGAGTAAAAAGTGTCGTTAATTTAGTAGATATTTTGATCACATTTTGTCGTATTTCATACAAAGTGGCTGCCAAATTGCGGACAAATGGCGCTTACGACAAAATTTTACTAAAGAAAATCCTTCATAAACTCAAAACTAATTAACAATAAACATTAAAAATTAAATAATGTAAGAGTTTTGTGAACTAGTTACATTTTCAGATACTTTGGAGAAAATCTATCTTCGCGTTTTTGAGAAATTGTATTCCAAACTTCAATCGCGATTTCCCACAACCTACCGAAATTAACATACGACAATCTTTTACCCAGGCGACGAAATGAGATTATCTTTGCTATAACGATACTTAAAATACTGTCAGCAACATTGAGTTCGCTGTCATTAGTTACATTAATTGGTAATAAGTCGGAGGAGTTATTGAAAATTCGCCAAGATATGTTACTCAAGTTAAAGTCACCCAGAACGCAGAGATGATTATCTCCTATTTTAGAACTTAAAGATATAACATTATTGATATGTGGTTTGTAAATCACCTCATTGCTCATCGGTGGAATGTAGAAGCGCACACAAACAGAATTCCACGAGGGCTGCGCACACTAACACATAGTTGGTCAAGTATAGAGTCAGAATGCTGAAGATTGACAAGAGACGAACAAAATTTACGCTGCACCGCTATCAAAACTCCGCCACGTCTAGACAAGCCAGTCCTTGATTCATCTCTGTCCTTACGAAAAACGCTATAAAGATTTCAGTCGAAATATTCCGGGTCGAAGAAATTAGGAGTAAACCAGCTTTCGATAACAAAAATGTCGTATTCTAAGTGTGAACTAAATCTGCGAACTCCGTCCGTTTTGGTCCTCATTCCGGATATATTGTGGAAATATTTTTTCAAATATTTCTTCGAGTTTTCAGCCTTTAGGTTTTGACCAACTGGATTGGTTTCCGTTGAAAGAAATGAAATAGACGTACAGTGACCTTAGCCAAATCTCAGGCCTAAGAAGCTTATCGAACAAATCTTCGGGAACACCCAGTTTAAAGTTCACTATTTTTAAAGTATTGGTTTCGACATCCTTCTTAACCAGCCTGAAGCATGACAAAAGATCTTTACTGATTCCAGAGTGCTTTTCCACATATTGGAGGATGTCATTAGGACCAACAGATGGTAGAAAAGGACCTAAATGAAGCCACTTTAGTTGTGCAGCAATAGCAACTTTTAGTTCGATGTCATTGTTAGATCCGATAACTTGCAATTCATTTTTTCTGGTACGGCGTTTATCAGAGACCTTTATCCAGTCATGATTATGGGCGCTAGTAGGAGCGTCAAGATTTATAAGATAAATAGTTGCTTGATTGTTGACAACCCTAACTCAGCAGTGGTATTCTCACATCAAGTGTTAAAACCCCTATTAGCGACGTCAGGCGCACTCACACCAGCAGACGTATGAGTGAGCCAATTAGAAACATGAATGCTAGGCGCGGAGACAGAGGCGTAAGACATCGGCACCATGTTGACTGCGTTAGAGACCTCAACTGGAGAATGATCAAAGGAAGCAGCAGGTAGCGAGCTATCAGAAGCAGCCGGAGCGACAGCAACAACAGACAAAGGCGATAATGATGAAGGTGGATCACTTAAGGGCGGCCGATTAGCTGGAGCAGCGAAGACGTCATTAGCATCAGAATTACCGACAGACAAACTCACGTCAGTAAGAGTTCGGTCGCCTTATCTTTATTATTGATATTTGAACACGTACAATGGCACGTACAGCGACGAAGCTCTTTCACTTCGACTGAGAGCGAAGCAAGCGAATTAACAATATTTTCAGCATGATTCAATAATAGAAAGGTTTTGTAATAAAACAGTCTTCTCGCTCCCACACATAAAATCGGCTCCTTTACTTGTGCAGGATGTTGCTCACTCTACAGTTTCTAGTTATTATTAGTAGTAAAACCAAAAATTCTTCATACTAAATATTCGTTGGCATCACCTGCGTTTGCGTAAATTTCTGGAACAAGTCTAGAATATCGACTGTTTTGCTATAAAATAACCAAAACTTTTTACGCTGATTTCAACGATACCAAATTTATTTGGCGCAGGTAATAAACAAAGAAGATATAAGAGGTTTATTTGCTTTGTTTACTTATATTTTTTATTATTACTTAATTCTTAAAACCCAAAAGTAGATCATGATAAAATATGTGTATCGAATTAAAGATAATAGATTGTACTTTCTAAATAATGTAAATTTCTTTATCATTAATCATGCAGTTTTTTTCAGAAAAGGTTATTTCATGAAAAAAATAACATATGTTGGTTTTTTAGTGGTTTTAGTTTAAATATATAAAAAACAATTTCAATTATGTATATCAGCTGAAAGATAAATTGATTATCTTTATGGCGAAGTTATTAGTTTTTTAATCGGTTATGTGGTTCATATGTATTTAAAAAAAAATCAAAGAATTTAATTGTAACCTTCTAAAACGTCTTTATATTTTACTTGCGCTAAATAATTGACATGGTTGAAATGAG